AGCAGCGTCGATACGACGAGAAGGAGAAACACGACGGAGAGAGTGCGTAGAATCGGGAATAGGATTTTGCTCTTACCTTGACCTTGGATAGCTGTAACTCGTTGAAAACACGACGCAAGTAGTCTACCTCTTTGTTGAACTCGTTCCAAATTTTACTTTGCGTGTGTTTTAAATTCGCCGCCAGTTTGTGCTCGATTCGAGCGATCTTCTTACTGCGCATACCGCGCGCGATGAACGTCATGATCATAACGGTGTAGCCCAGTCCGAAGGAAATCCAACAGATCAGGAAGGTCTTGTACGACGTGAAGAAAAATCCGCTACCCTTGCTGTTGTCCTGTCCTGTCGAGTACGAACGCGATGCAAGATCATATTTCGATGCGTTTAAATGCGTTGACGGAGAGAGAAGGGTGGAGACGCAACATCCTGTGTGTGTGTGTGTGTGTATATATATATATATATATACACACACACGTACGTAATACGCGTGGATCGCGATGTCTCGATGTCTCGACGTAAATGTATCTTTTCGTCGTTGTTATGTCTATCTTATATGTCGTTGGGCGAAAGAAAGGAAGAAAGTGTTTTTCTCTGACCTGCCACGTAATCTCCGAAGCCAATGGTCGTCAACGTGACGAAAGCATAGTAGACGGCTTCGTCGTAAGTCCAATCTTCGTAGTAGGAAAAGAGAAACGCTGGGAAAAAAACGAACATGACGAAACCTGGTATCAAATGGGCGAATATCTGCGCGGCTAATCCAACTTTTCCCGTTTCGAACGTCGTCAATTTTCTGGCGTAATACTGCTCGCTGTGGCCGTGTTTGTACGACTTGTACTTCCGATGAGCTTTCACGAATACGTGGCCAAAAAATTCTCCCAGCTGCGTTAATAGAATTCCATTCATAGGAATTCCTATCAGGCCGTAAAATATCATCAGGATGCGACCGAGCATGTTCGTCGGAGCCAAATTCCCGTAACCTGTATATATTGCACACGTATATGTTCGATATGTTCGGATGATTGGCAAGTTGTTCGAAATCAACGTTTCGAATTTCCATGTCGATGATGGCGTTGAAATTTTACGCCGTGATACAGCTCGGATGTGGTGCTACGTACAGCCGCGAATCGGAATACAGTGCGTGAATCTCTCGTTTCGAATCTTTTTTTTTTTTTTTTTTTTTTTTTTTTTTTTTTTTTTTTTTTTTT